CATGTTAATCGCGAATATGACCATGAAAAACCCCATTATTTGTTCATATGGTAGTTTTCTACAAAACCGACTTCCCAAACTAACAAATTTTCACCAAACATTTGTTTTAGATCTGTCCAGATTATGGAGCATATCGAGTTGCCTAGAAAACAGTAAATTTTTCTGTTTTTAATCGTTTTTTTTTCTGCAGCAAATACAACTATTTTAATTCATACAACAGAGACGTATCAACATTTCAATGTGAAACTCTTCAGAGGTGATAGTATTTTACTTGAAAATCATTTTTGGAAAGTACAAAAGATTTTTGTCTTATAGACAACACGATATACTCTATAATCTGAGTAGATCAGAAACGATGTTATCAAAATGTTTGGTAGTCTAAAAATCCAGTATATAAACACTTAATGAGATTTTCTACGGTTATATTTGGGCTCAGTATGGTTGATAAGCCATAATCCAGGAACTTTTGGTAAGAAATTGTATACAAAGTTTCAATGTTTTTGGATGAGCTCTCTTCAAAGTACCACTGTTTCAGTGTCAAGATGACGTTTCATAAATATTATGTTACACATCAATATTTTTGAAAATTCATATCCCAGAGAGAGATTGTTCTAAAACTCTAGAACTTTGTACACAAGTTATTTTATTTGAGAATTTTACATGAGTAATGTCTCGAATCAATAAATGGAAAGTTTAAGTATTGAAAAAAAATGGTACTAAAAGCCAATATTCCATTAAAATTATAACTTACACCGATATTCTCTCAAGTCTGTTCTTTTTTTTACATTTTCCTGCTTGAGGACACAGTTTGAGCTAAAAAAGCTTTTTATTATTTGATAGCGTTCACTTGTTAATACATTTCCTATCTGTTTTTAGATTTTATCATTAATCATAATAATGAATAAGGAATGACTGTAAGAATGTATATTCATAATTGCATCTTCGATACTTTTGATTTGTATAGAAAAGTTATTTGAAGAGTTCGTTATAGTTTCTTTCATTGATGATTGTAACTAGATCTTCTAGTTTTTACAAACTACAAAAAAATGATATTCGCATTCTTGATCAGTTTTATGCTTCATTTATTTTGATTATTATTATCGGTTTTCTAGAGATATAAGACATGAAAGAATATAAGATAAGCCTTTTCACAAAAAGAAATATAATTTCATATATAACATAGTTTATGCTGAATCAAATCCATTTGAAATAGATATGAGTTTTCTTTTGTGAAAATATTTTATGCTAGTCAGAAATAACAACAAGGCACTAAGAGAACGACACAGTCATACTACGGACTTCATTTTATGAGGTTCTACATCGATTGAACGTACCAATTAAATTAATTTGATAACCTTCTTTGCAAAACATTTTTATAATTCATTAAGAAAGATTAAAATGCATAAAAAAAACATGACTATATATATAAAATTTTACTATATATATATACTAGAGCTAATATTGACGTTGAATTAAATGATAGCAAACCAGGTATTCATCAAAACATTAATGAAAATTAACTTTATAAATTGTTAAAAGATAAATAATTGAAATAGCTAAATTGAAAAAACAATCAATTTTTATTAACATATTTTCTAATTAAACTGATAACTGTGTCTATTATCTTATGAATGTCAATGATTTTGATAAAATGAACTATATATTCAAAACAAATATTACAGACAAATATACCTGATGTGTTTGATAATGTCGTAAGAGAAAAAAAAGATATGAGCAAATACTCATAGAAATAAATGATCGGCCTATATTCAACTCAAGATTATATGAGCATGACATTTTCTCTTCTCTATCCGTGACTTGATTCAAACAATAGGATTTTTGAACTGCTTATTAACTCTCTATTTTTTTTAATATTTTTTCTTAAACGGCAGTTTTTTTCTGATTAATTCAAACGATCAAGAGAACATGATTGTTCATCATCAACTTGTCATGCTTTTGCACTTGATAACTATATATGAATACAACATTTATCAGCCGTGTCCAACTTCTCACTATCCACTTTCGACATGTAAACACACACTTGAACAAAGCATAACCATCACCTATATAGAAGTTAATATACATGACAAGAAAACAAAAAAAAACACTATTTTTGTCCTTCAACGAAATTCATCGTTATTCTTTATCACTAAATTAAGAGTTCTTTTTTCTTCTTCTGTCTAACTGTCTTTTGATCATGAATTGTCGTGTTAGTGTTAGTCGTCGTGGACAGCTTGCGCTTGACATATTTTAATATCCGTCAATTAATAAGCGATGATGGGAGAGCAAATATATACACAAACACAGTTCTCATTTCATTCAACGACAGATAATCGTGTTCAATTGGATTTTATTGAGCAAAAGAGAGAGAGAGAGAACGAGGTGTTATCTCTCTCTCTCTTACATTGCTAACTCCGTTTTTTTCTTGCTTGCGTCAATTGTTGACTCAAGAACGCAGAGAACAACTGCAAAAAAATTAGACGATGATGATAATTTTGATTGATCGATCATGAGTCTCATTTTCTCTCCTTCTTCTCTCTTTCTCCTTCTGTTTCTCTATGTTTTTCAATAAGTTATAGTAGAATCATTTATGCTTTGGGGTGAATAACTGAAAATCATGACAACATTTTCAATAGCCTCGATTCTCGGTGATCAAAATGATAAACATGAAGAAGAAAATAGTTCTATTGAAGAACAACATCAATTCATTTTAAACAATAGTGTACAACAATTGTATAATATATTCTGCAAAAATGCTGCTGTTGCTGCACATTTGAATGAACAAAATCATACTAAAACGAATTCAATAAGATCTTTTTCCCTTGGAACAGGTCCAACTTGTTCAAATGATTTTTATCAATTACATAAAATTAATGGTGCATCTTATCAAGGTAATTGTTATTTAGAATTATTCAAAGAAATATATATTTGAGTTTATCAGAACTCAGAAATCGATTTAAAATATAACGATTCTATTTTTGTAAAAAAAGAAAAATGATAATTATTGATTATTGATGTTGAGTGATTTTGTTCTCTTGTTGTCTCTTACACTCTTAGACATCGAGTTCATTAATTGCTTATTGATTATGGTTAGACGCGATTTTTCACACATTCTTCTTTTTTCTGCATTTGCTTATGTTGTTGATGATCAGACTAAGAGAGATAGAGGAAGTCGGTATAATTGTTGACACACATGATCAAAAGTCAATTGAGCGCCCAAGATATATTTGTTCAACTTATTAGTATGATCAAGAAATTGATGTGATGATCCTATGCATCTTAAATGATGGTTTTAGCAGGAAATAGCACCGTTATGAATAAAAAGAATAAATTTTGTTTTTTAGGTTCAACTTTATCTTATTATGGAAAATCTCGTCGTCCACGTACGGCATTTACATCTCAACAATTACTTGAACTTGAAAAACAATTTCGAGAAAATAAATATTTATCAAAATCAAAAGTAAAATATTAAATCTTTTATTTTATTCCTTTGTGAAAAAATTTTATTTTCTTATTTTATAGCGTTTTGAAGTGGCTACATCTTTAATGTTAAGTGAAACACAAATAAAAATATGGTAACTAAAAAAAACTTTTTTTCAATTGATATTGTTTTTTCTATTTTCTTTTTGTATCATAATATTAGGTTTCAAAATCGTCGCATGAAATGGAAACGTAACAAAAAAATACCATCTGGTACTTCAGAAGAATCACCAACACCAATGCTTATCAAAGGAGAACCGTCCGATATGACTGATTCGACATCATCATTAGTTACTATGAGTCCTACTTAAACCTTTATTTTTACTTTTTTTTCATATGAATATCCTTCGTTTTTGTTGCAAAATAAAATGTAAATGAATGGTGTGCTTCTTTAATTGTTTGCTTGTATGCATATTAAGTATTGAAAACGAAAATCAGTTTAAGAATAAAAAAAATATACGGGAGCATGAAGTATGTTAATGTTAAAGATGTTTATTATGTTCTAATTTTATTCATAGTTTGATTTATCGTTCAAAATGCAAACTTTTAATTCAATCGATTGATTGTCCAAGTTATTTGTGTGTTAATGGGACTTCTTTCACTAATTCATCTCATACATTTTCATCACATCTAATCTGTGATTTTTTTAAACATTTTCAAAATATGACATCTAACAAATTGTCATAAGCTGGTGAAGCTTTCAAATGTGATTGATGATGTTTTGAAATTTAAATCTTTAAGGCATTGAATAATAATATTCGTATCCTAATTAGAATATTCATATGAACAGTGAATGAAGAAAACAAAATTTTTTCAAATGTTAAAGACGCTTGAACTTTCAGCTTCTTCATCTAAATGGTCGATCAAGGTTTTATATTATTTTTTTTTAAATCTTATAATTTTTTTTATTAATAAAAGTATATTTCATTAATGAACTAATTCAAAAGAGTAGAAAAACAATAGTCTCGATTTTATTTTCAAGGAACAATTTTTTTTTTCTATAAAATATTTTTATCTCAAGGTTAGTAGCCGTGCGAAGGTTTTGAGATTAAGGAATGGAAGACGTATTGGAAAATGTCTGACAAGGATAATAAATATTTAAAAAAGAATATTGCTAATACTACTAAGTGATAACGATTAATTTTCAATTAGTACTTGGTGTATATCATCATTTTCGTAGACGGCACTCTTGATAGCGTCATATAGAACGGGCTAATGTAATCACAGAACAATTTATCAATTCTAGTCAAGTTAAATGCTTCGATATATGATGTTGCAAATTGAAGTCTATAGTAAAAAAATCGAAATATCTTGTCAGCAACGAAACTTCAATGCGTAAGTATGACTGTTAGTAGAATTTAATTTATAAGATACAAGTCAACGAATGATTGAATTAATTATTTGTCTATGCATGTTTCTTCAATATTCAGTTGTGGTTTAGAAAAGTTCCGATCGATCGTAAAAAAGAACTTTTATATCCTACACGAATGATTTTGAATAAATTTATTAAAAATTTTATCTTATTTTTTCATTCGTTTAATTGTTGTTGGTGTTTGAAATAAACGTCTAATAAAAAAAGTTTGAAAAAGACCACAACTAATTATTAAAATAATGTGTATAATTGCCCATTGATTAACCCATAATAAATTTTGTTCAATTAAATAAAGATCTTTTTGATCAAGCATTTCTAATTCAATTTGTCTTTCACGCGTACCAATAATATGATGACTAATAGAATCAAGTGCATTCTAAAATGATAAAAGTTTTAAAAATTTGCTTATCAAATAATAAAACATTACATACATGAGCATTAATGGACGAATTATCGAAATGTTCAATTTCTTTTATAGTAGCTAAAATTTTCTCAACATGATAAACATGCAAGAAAACAGAAATATATTTCATAGAAGTATCTGACTTTGCATGCGTCATGCAAATGTCGAGTAAAACTAAAAATATAATAGAATACTTAGTAAATCAAATAATTAAAAAGAAATATAATCTAACTTGTTTCATTTGCTATAAGTTCAAGAACACCTCGTTGAGGAGTTGTTGAAATAGCTAAAATACTTTCATTATAAGCATTGCGAAAAAAAGCGACAATACTGCTATCATGTGTTTGAGCATTTAAAATTTCATACATAAAATATATACTTGTACCGTTGTCTAATAATTGATGATAACATTCTTGAGAGTTGGGCTGTAGCCAAAATTTAAAACGTATTTCTATTTATTATAAAAATGGATTATATTGATCAATTTGCTTTTATTTTGATCATATTTACCTTGTAGATGGGTTGAATCACCTGTTACAGTAATAAAGACGATACCACAAAAGAGTAGAAAATATGCATAGTTCATAACCATTATTCGTATTGTCTTCGTCAGTTGAATATGGTCAAGGTAAAATCGACTCCTCTAGAATAATGAGTGTGTATGTGTATATCATATATCGAAAAAAAAGAGAATGAAAGAGAAACAAGAGAGGAGTATAATTGATCAGTTATTTACTCAGGGATTTTGAATCATGCGTGTTGTTTGTGTCTATCTCACATTCGTCATGTCGATGCACGAATGGGATAAAGAACGAAAAAAGACAGTGAGGGACCTATGTTGAATCTACATATATTGTTCGAGTTCAAACATTAAAAAATATCATCTTTGCATAAACTTGTTCATTATTAATCGATTTCGTGTCAACAGATTATTCTATAGATACTTGGCGCCTGCTTTTTCAGCATGTCGGTGCATCTTTTTCTTGTATCTATTGTTAAATCATCATTATCATATTCATTAAATATCAATGAACTATTATTTTTATCAAATGATTGGTTTCGAAGGTATGTTCATATTTATGACTTTATCTTCAATAATTACCATATTTTTGTTATTAATCTATTAAAATGTCTCGTCATCATCACCAATTCCTTGACTTGTATTGCTGTTTACCTAAAGAATTTCTTATGTTATATCCTCAGCCACAATCATCATTGTATTATCAAGAGAAACAGAGAATAATATATCGAAATACAAATGCCAGAGAACCAATATCTTTACTACAACGATCAAAATATAAACCAAAGAATTTACTTCATCCTTACAGAATATCAAAAGACCGTCATGCAAATGATACTAATACTTCTGAAAAAGGAATGATAAACAAGATTATGTCTATGGAATCTGCAGATCATGAAGTAGAATTTTATATGACGAAAAAACCAACAACGACTGTAAGACGTTATCATTCATCACAAATGGCTGATGGTGATAAAAAAAATAAGATTATTCTAGAAAATGCTTTGGATGAATTTCAACAGCAAAGATTTACAAATGATCAGAAACATATTATCAATATGATACATAAAGATATAATACGACCAGTACCATGCAAACCAATTATCAACGACCAATTGAAAACGTCGTCGGTCAATATTATAACAAGAAACAAAAGATTTTTATTCTCATCAAACTTCTTTTTGTTTTGTAGGAATTGAAGTCATTCAAAAATCCAATGTCACATTTGCATTCTTCTCAAATTTGTCAATCAATATTACCATTAAATCGTACTTCTACATGGCGTAAACTTCAAGCAAATATCACTCCATCTCATTATAATCGTATTCAAGAATTTCAACGAGATCGTCAACAACAATATCATGCATCATCAACTATTCATCCTATAATGTTACCACCTCTTCATAAACGGTCAGAAATTGATAGTTCTGAAGCATCAAAATTTATTTCAAATATCACTGATTCTTATGTATCATATACATCATTATCTATTGATTCTCCGACTAATTTATCTGATTCAAGTACTGATCATAGAATTATTCAATCAATTGATGTAGATCATAAAATAGTTGATAATGATGATAACTCAAATACAATGAATCCAATTACAAATTCACTTGAGACAGCACATCAACTAGAAATTTATCCTATAGAAAATATAGTGGTAGAAAATAAGAGTATTATAATATTTGAAAAAAATTATACTCGTGAATCGATTATTGTTTTTTTTTTTTATTAATTATGATAGAAAACTTTCTTAATCAGGCAATAACTAATTCTCCATCAACATGTTCTAATAATGATCTCAAAGATGATTCTTCTATAATTAAATCAGTACAAATGTCACCTAATGCATCATCATTACATGAAACCGAAAATATTGAAGAACTTCAAACTTTTATTGAAATATTATCTCCATCACAAGTTCCATCGATTTTTCTGAACGATATTCTATCTTCATTTTTTCCAACTATATCGACACAGCTTACTTCAACATCATCGAACAATAATCTTCTTGACTTTCATTCTCATCATTATATTAATGATGATATCGGTGAAACACCATACGTATTATTCGATAATACTGGAAATATGACTGAAATTTTAAGTATTGATCCACTACCACCATTATCATCATCATCATTTGTTAAATCTAAACTTGTTGCTGAAAATCATCAACCAAAGAAAGTTCACTCACTATTCGAATCTATAGAAGAACTATGTATTTTAATTCGGACACTTCTTCAACATGAATTAACTAGACAAAAGATAACACCTCTACAAGCAACAATTGCAAGTCAACTTGCAATTTTATTAACCTATCTAGCAATACCTAATAATGAAAAGATCATTTCTGGATTGATGACGAAGAATACGATCGAAAGAATGATATCGACGGATGAAAATGATTTTTCTCCTCAACTTTCGACTGTTGAAACACAAACTGATATCGAATGGACTATTCAATTAAATGATCAAAAAGTGTTTGAGTCTCCCAGTCATATGCATTTTCATAGTGAACCAATTCATAATATAGTTGAATTTTCAATGCATGAACCATCATCGTCTGAAATTAAACAAGAAGAAATTATTGATACACCACTATCATCCCAAAAAGTAACAAGTCACACAGATTTAACATCGACGAGTAGTAAGAATAATAAAGTATCCTGTAATCAATTACTTATTTGCTATTCTTTTAGTTAGTTTTCATTTACCTGGTCGTCGACCGAATCATGCTTTTTCAGATACATTTATTTATCATATTCATCAACGTCAACAATATTCGTCTTCCTATCATCAATTAATTTCATTTTCTGAAACAACTATTAATTCACTAATGCATCCTTTTCATCATCATTGGACAACAAAAGAAGAAACTAAACATTTATTTAAACGTATTGGACAGAAACTTCAACATTATATTGAATTAGATTCTTCAAATACATGTTTAGAAGCTAGCACAGAATTTACACCAGATTTTGTTTTAACAACAATCAATAATTCGAAATATGATGATGATGATGATGATCAAACAGAACAATTTGGTATTGATACTGAAAAACAAGATTATCAAACTGATACAATATCTTTAGTTACTAATGAACAAAAAGAAAAAACTGATACACTTACATTTAATTCGACTGAGAAAGATAATTATGATAGTCTAGATCTTGATATTGAACAAGGTCAGAAAAGATTGTTAGGTTTCTTATTTTTAAAACCATATTTTAGATAATGAAGAACATCTGCTATTTACTTCAATAGGTATTCATCAATCAAATCAATGTTCAAATAATGAACCAAATATTGAAGAAAATAGTATACCAAAAAGTTCAGTAATTGAAATCAATTAATTTCTATGTCAGAGATGTTAACAGGCTGATTCGTTTTGATTCAATCTACCGAACCCATGACTTGTGTGCAAGTTCAACCTCTGATGGCTTTCGGATTAAGCTTTTTCACGATCTACGGGTTTTACATGTATCCAAAAGTTCAACCTTTGACAAATTTTCCTAATCATTCTCTTCATTTTTTATTCTTTCACTCTACATAGAGCTACGTTCACTATTCACGCCATTTTTTCGTTTCTTCACTGATTCAATTACTGCCATTATTTCTTTCGACCATTTGTTCTCACTACATCTTCATTCTAGTCATTCTCCTACTTGATTTGAAACATGCACACAAATAAATATGTTTTGGGTGTTATTGTGGATGTGAGGTGTGAGTCTTCTCCTTAGCCGCACTGAACTTCAAACCTGCACTTACATCCATACCTACATCCGTACAAAATTAAGTTTATTGAATGATTTATTATTACTTCATTCAGTGTAGAAATGAGCATGAATGATATATAATCGAGTACTTTTTCGATTTTTTTGCACAGTCATCGTCATTAGTATTCTAGCCGAAGTTGTAGCTGGAATACTAACAGTGTATATAGGAACATATACTAGTATTTTTACTTCACTATTTGTTGTCTTAAAGTTTAATTGAAATTTCGTTACGTTTATGGGTATGTTCAGAAATAAAAGATACTATTATAATTATAAAACTCTAAGTTCCATAAATAACTAAAAGATGAATGCATCAATAAGAAACCTCACGATTTGTAACTAGATATTTTGCTAATAACATTTGTATTAACCCGCAGGCAGCCGTGTCAGGTTAATAACTCTTCCATCCGTAAAGTAGTCTGCTGGTCGAAGAAAAAAAAACATCCATCCTTAAGACGAACCGAGTTCGGCCTTGAACGAGCCGGATAAGAAAAGAAATCCACTCATCAACATCTCTGTTCTGTGTCACTTCATGATAATTTTGCATGTTTCTTTGTTTGTAGTCAATCAATTAAATAATAAAAATCATTTCTGTCAATTACTTGAACCTCTCCTCAATACATGTCAATTGCAGTTACCTCTCTTACCTAGAAAAACAAATAGTATTAATTCGATCTATGAGAAACGTAATGCTAAAATTGATTTAAAACACTTAAAAATACGATCAAATCCAACCAATAGAATAAATATCATTGGGAAGCAAGTTCGAATCAAATCAAATTCATCATCAAAAGTATCAACACTAACAGTCAAATCACATTCAAGTATCTATCTATTTTCTAAGATCGTTGTTTTTTTTCTCGAAATTAATCTTGTCTCTAAATTCAAGGTACAGAACAATCGAGCAAATCACCTGCTTTAAATTATAACAATAACTATAATGAATATATTAGTTCAAGAGAATCTTTGAGATCATCAACATCAATACTTAATATAAGATTGTCGTCAACTAGTATTGATAGTTTGTGCACTTTAGATAGTGATACACTAGACAAAAATAGCACTAACGAATGTATAATGCTACCGAAAAATCTTCAATTCTTAATCAATTATCCAAAATCGAGTGGGTACTTATGCTTATTTGTCTCATTCTTTTATAACAATTCTAGTATCTATTTCGACATATTTTACTTATTCTTTTAATATTTCAGAGGAACTCACTGTACATTCTTCTCTACCGAATATACATGAGAATTATGAAAATCTTGTAAAAGCTGCTTCGTTTTCTACTGCAACCATGTGTCATTCGTTAAAAGTTACTGATGCATTAAATTCAAATCCTGCACTTGCTGAAAGTGTATTTGGTATATTTAATTCATGCAATAATAGCTACAATGATTCATCAACAACGCACATTGATTTACTTCACATGCATATTCGACAATTTTTCATTGAATTTGACCAACGTATTCGTCTTGGTAGAATAAGAAGAAAGAACTTAAAGAAAAAGCATAAGCAAGTAATGCATTAACATATTTATTCATTCAAGACGTGATAGGACTTTTGAATTCTTGTCTAAGTTTTGGATTTAACAATTATTTTCGTAACATCTAAAAAGTTCAGTGTTTATCTTTTGTCTCTTGTAATTTATAGAATGTATCCATTAAAAAGAAAAATTTTATTCAATGAAATAAATGGAAAAGAAAGCTAGCAGCAGAATGTTTTATATTCATAGATAGAGAATTTTGAAATAAACAAAAAGTCTAATAAATTATGGTTCTAATAAAAGCCTTTAAAAATAAAACATACGACAAAATCGACATACAAGATGATAAAAATTATTCACATATTCGAAAAAAACTAAATAATCACGTGATGATTGTTCACCATCAAGTGATTTCGTAGAAGAAGGAAAAATAATGTCTGAAACAAAATTGTTACAATCTAAATAAACAGTACAATTACTCCATTCACGCACAAAGAAATTGGAGAAAGGTTCATAAGCATCATTTAAAGGCACACCATAATCAGTTTCAAATCCTTCTTTCCACCATGAATTCGGTGTAAAAAATAGCCAATAATTACCACGTGCAATTAGAAATGCAGCTAATTGTTGTTTAAGATCTTTACATTGTTCCCATGGATAGTCACATGCACCATTATACATAGCAGGAAATGTAACTGGTACATTTTTCATTGATATTGCAGTTTTCATTTTTTCTGCACATTTAGCTGGTGTATCTTCACTAGACGGTACATCAGGGCTTAACCAAGCTTGCCATGCATGTTTATTATATTTGAGTCCAAGTTCCCATGCTCGTTTTAGAGATACTTGTTGAGCTGCATCAACCGCTTCTTGATATTCTTTAGTATAATTGGGATAGTTTGATCGTTCTGCCCAAATACCTTCATCATCATCGTAAAAAATTCCATCAACAATTGGTTGATGAAATGCACTACCTACGTATTGATTTACAAAATAGTCTTGTACTTTTGGATTTCTATGATCCCAACAGAATTGATCCATACGATATTTGTCGACAATTGTAGAATCATTGTAAATAGTACCATTCGGGAATAAAACGAACCAATGAGTTTTCAATCGATTATACATTACTTTCGCACCATTATCAAAGACGTTAAGTGCAAGTTCTGATTGACGATAAACAAATACACGAGTTTTCGGATTGACAGCTTTAATGAAGGCTGCTTGCTGAGCTAATGTTTCTTCTCGATGCATTGGGAGACCATAATGATTAGCCCAATCTATACCAACTACACCGTGTAAAGCTGCAAAAGCAACTGTTTCATTATCATAAAAACCTTCACTTGAATAGAAATAATGTTGCGTTGACAATTGCATATTGTATGTAGGTCGCCAAGGAGGCAACGGGCATGGCAATCGCCATGGTATAGGACACGGTTCGAGTTCACTGTGAGTTTTAATTATAAGATGTAACATTAGAACAACAATGACCGTGAAGAAATGCATATTGATAATGGATGATCGATTTGTTCAAGTTTGAAGCGATTGAGAGTGACTATCTAGATCAAAAATTTAAATACAATTTTTCTTTCGTCCAACTGAACGATTTTTTTTTCTCTTTATTATATTTTTACCGGAAAGCTTCTAGAGTAAAAAAAGAAACAGTCGAGACTGCTTTTCATTCTTTTTTCTCTTCATACGAGCATCTACATGTGATGCAAAAAGTGCACATGGTGAAGAAAGAAAAAAGAAAAAAAGGAATACCAGCCTTGACGCAACAATAATTTTTCTTGTATTCTTTTTGTTCAAGCAAGAATGAAGAATCTGAAGGTAACTTTTAAGTAATATAATTTTACATTTTTTACATCACTGTAAATGAAATTTGCATTATTTTTAAAAGACTGATTTCTACCAACGTTCATATATCGAAAACTTATGGTGACTAGATGAAATAAAAGTAAGATGATAAATTAAAAAATTGTAATGTACTACGATAGACTTTCGAAGTGAAGATAGCATGAAGAATATTTCTCGCATGAGAAATGATGAGAGGAAATTAAATTTTCATTGCACCTAAGTTACTATGCAAACAAATAGAATATAAAGGATGTATTTGGAGAAAATAGTCAAAAAAACTGATACCTTTTTAGCACTACATGAGAATAAATAAACCGACCGATGGACTCTTTATTGATATAGAGATAAAACTACAGATATCCACTCAAAAACCATATAAGATGAGAAAGGTAGATAAGTAGAGTAAATCAACCAATAGTTAATACTGTGGGTGGGTATATGAAGAGAAACCACACTCACATTTAGACTAGTGTCCTGTGGGAATGTTGTTTGTTCGTAATTTCCCATCCCATTTTTCACAGGAATCGGGCAAGTGAATACAAGGAGGAAAAAGATATTAAAAATGAACGTTCCCAAAAATCATTCTTTTTATGTAAATATTCTCCAAAATTTGTTCTTTGAAACAAAAAATATCGAAGTCAATCCGATGTTAAATTGTTCAAAAATAGATTTTGACATTTTTTTCAAGGATTTTTGCATCACTTACTAATTAAAATAAAAATGATGCATATCTATGAACGAAAATCAGACCAGTTTATTGATTATTTATTAGATTGTAATTTAATTATCACAACTATTATTTTCTTTATGATTATCATTTTCGAAGGGATTATTATTTAAATTATCTCGTAATATGCCATTATTATTATGTTCTATTGGTGTTGCTGATGCATAAGCCTTTTTTCTCCCTTCAATTAATGAAGGACAACATTTCTTTTAACTTAACGTAGATCAAATTCAATCTCTAAATAATATTTGATTTAATCTACTGCAATTATTTTCTTTTCTCAAAAATGAAAAGTAAAACTGTGATAGGTGACCTGAAAGTGTCACGGGAACTGGAAATAGGAATCGAGCAGATTTGTTCCCGTCGGACATTAACTCAGACTCTCTTCACTTTTGATTCAAATGATTAGAGAACTTCAAATAGACTGCTGATGATAAGGTATTGTTGAAAAGATGTTGTAGAAATAGTACAGAGGGCAGATCAAATCATTACATTCTTCAGCATATTTTGCTTTGCGGCAAAAGAATTTCTCAACAACATAATACTTTTATCTGCTAGAAAACAAATACTCGAGACTCATTGGGTATAGCAAATCATGTTGGGTGATAGTGAACTTAATATCATTGTAAGTTTTGTGGTAACAATGATAATAGCTATAACGATGATACATCGATACGACACTTTGACAACAACTTCGACAACAATTGTCATCAGTTTCTGGTAGGTAAGAAATTATATTTGTTGGCTAAATAAATAGCTCTGCTGTTGAAATTATGTACATAACATTTAGCAGCGTCTGAGTCAAACTCAGATGAGTTGCTGATGTATGAGATGGTCCTAGTTACATGAAAGGCATGCTGAGTAGTGCAGAATCTACTTCCGATGGTGCACGGTACGTTTTTTAATTTCCTTCATAGTCAGTAGTATCTCGCTCGAAAATACCATTGATAATAATATTGTCCATACTCAGCGCTTCTCGTGAGAATGAGCTTGTTCGATTCTCAGTCATAAATTGTATGATCTCTACACGTTCACACACCCATTCATCACCAGCAGTGACATAATCATAGAAGGATTCGAACGTGTTTGCATAAACATGATTATTGTTAGACTGTTCTGTCATTTACTCGACTATTCGATCAAGCTATAAAATCTACACTCATCTGAAAATAATTCAGCCGTCAACAACAACAACAACAAAAATCTAAACATAAAGTTTACATTACATTATGGCACATAGGAATTTTCCACCTAAAAAGTCATATTTGTTTGCAATGCCGTATCTTTGTAATTCTTTTACGTGTAATTTTGATGCATGCAGCAAGTTTGCAAATTTATGTTGATGCAATTCTTTGTCAGTCTTTTCGTTGTTTTCTTTCATTGGACTATCTACATAGCACCATCTTGCTGAGAACAGTGATTACAATAGTGAAATGAAAGAACTGTAACGATGAATAAATATATACAACGGGCAGTCCAGAATAAATAGATAACCTTTTATTTGTGATGTTGTCGTGTAGAATCTCGATAATATTTTTCAATTTTCTTACGAAAAGATGTAACGTGAAACTATCTACAAAATGATACAAAAGACAAATGTCTGATCTTAGAACGAAATTTTTTAGGATGAAAAAGATACGCTTCAAGAGCATCATGTCTTATAAGTAATAGGACTTCAGCAAGAACATGGTTTTCTCAGCATATTATTGATATCTTTGTTAGTTTTATCACTAATTTTTTAACTTTTTTCTTCAAAATAGTGGAGTAATTAAGATCTTCTCTTCAAACACTAACACTTACACCCTGCATTCTCACTACACGTTTACTCACACTAAAACTAAAACACACATCATCATACCCACACTGACATCTGCACCCATATTCCAAACTCATACTCTTACGATGATGTTTTAAAAATGCATCAAAACATATTAAATCTAATCTATGATAGCGTGATTATTAATTGTATACATGAATGTTATTCATTATTTGGGGAACCAATCATTATTTTTTCATTTGAAATTTAATTTTCAGTTGCAGCATGAAAAGAATTAACTATGAAGAAAAAAAAGTTTGACGCATGCACATTCGTGGCATAGGAAAAAGTAAACAAAACAGTTCCTCTTTATACTGTCATAAAAACACAACTAAAAGTTGAACATTGCTGTCTATCATGGATAACGAAGCAACGCATGATAAATCAATTGACCATGAAGACATTGTTTGTTCGATAACACAAGAAGTTTTTCGTGATCCTGTTAGAGCAACTGATGGCTTCGCTTATGAGCTCGATGCAATCACCAGATGGATCTTTCAGAATGATACGAGTCCACTTACTCGACAACCATTAAGAATTGATGAACTGCAACCTGACAATAAACTTAGGCGTCTTGCCCGTCGTCGACGACATTCAACAGTGAGTTATGATGCACGTACTGATACTGTTTCTTTACCACCTATTCGACGAGTGCCAAGGCCTATTACCCAGGTCGTCCCAATACAGACAAATTCAGTCACTATAAGAGCGTCATGCTCAAAAAATCGTAAACTTCAAGTCGCATTGATTATCATTGCGATTTTTGTTATCACTGTTTCAGTCCTTGAAATGTCTCTAGATATGCAATCATTGTTTTCCACTTATAGAACTAAGTTAATAACTGCAGTCACAATATAGTGAATCCTTAAGTCATTGATAAGCTGCTAAGAACTAATTATATGCTTGAATTAACGCAACTAGACTTTATTCAATCAGACAAAGTCAACAAAAATAGCGTTTTTACACGTTAACATGTGCACTTTTTACGTTTCGAAAAGAAAGTTGTCTTTCGAAAAAACAAAGTGAGTCTGAAGTGAATGATATCCACAAGATTGCTTCTTCTTACAAAAATTATTTATTTTTATTGTTATTCTGTGTAAAAAACGCACACTTTACCTGATTTAAGACATAATGCGCACTGATCTGACCAAGTACTTACACCAAAGATTTTCAGATAAGTAAGTGCTATTGAGTTGGAACAATATTCATCATGTAGATCACAATGAGCTATGAAAATCTCAAAAAGAATTTGAGCCATTAACTTACACCTGCGGAAGTACTATCTGTTTGCAATAGCTTTTTATTTGAATTTGAAACCTAGAATAGAGACAAACTTTAGTGGAAGTAGTTGACTGTAAAAGTTTCAGATCTTTTTGTTATTTCTATCCTAAGGTACAGGTATAGTAAAAGCATAGCTTTTACATCGTTTATTTACACTAACAACTTCGATGCTCTTATGGCATGGCAGAGACATCAAAAAATCTAAGTGTCATAGTAAGCTATTTTCCTTAAGATCTATCTCTATACAAAGTTTCAAGTCAAAAGTCGAAAATGAGTATTCGTAGTATTCCTAACTGAAGAACACGACCATGCCTTTGAAAAAATAGCGTCAAAATGCAATATTTTTGCTTAAATCCTAAACTAGTGTTGAGATAATTGAACAATATGAAGATCGTGAAATTTTAACAATGAAATTTTATTTTTCGCGGTAACGGAAAATCGAAATTTAAATTTTTTTGAGAGAAAAAATAACCTTTTTGTGAAGGATGGCAGACTTATGGATAGTGTATTAATTCCCATTGGATCTTGATACTACGAGAAATGATTGATCTCCTGAAGATTTCTCTATGAGAATCACTTTTCGATTATGTATTTTTCGATTGTCTAGCAATGAAAGAAATCAAGCGAGTTCCATTTCATCAAAATTTATCATGATCTACTTATTGTCACTCAGTACATGAGAGCAATACGATGAGAGTTATCTATGAGGGTATTCTTGAAATTGGACTTTTTGGAAGAAACCATCATTCTGTATTTATATTCGTTGATGAAAATAGATGAAAAAGCAATTGTGCTGGGCAAAAAAACCTCTCCATTATATCCGATACGAAAACAAACAGATTTTTTTAATGCTTGCTTTCGTTTGATTTTATCTAAAAATATGATTTAGTAGTAAAATGCGTTGATTGGAATCCAACCAGTTGTTCATGCTGAAATTGAATGTCTCAGCAATAAATTTTGAGTGATTAGTTATCGATAATATGTTGATTTTAACACAGGTAACTAATACAAATTTAGAGAAAAACGAAGACACATGTATACTCTGAATATATGGTAATAGGAATATAATAGAGAGATACAATTTTCAACTTTGGAAATCAGAGAGAAGGATGCATGGAATCGTATGTTTAATATTTTTCTTACAAGCTTTTTTATGTCTTCCTGTCGAACATTTAAAAAAACGGATCTAGCCCATGGAGTTGTTAAAATGGTTTTTAAGTTTTATGTGTGCATTAGAAATGTGAACCAATCATGCACAAAACCAAGCGAGACCAATAGTCGCAATATCAGTCAATACTGAGTTGTAGACATTTAGTTTGAAAGGATTAGCCAAGTTTTTGACAAAATTTGCAGAAAAAAGTACTTTTTGCACTTTACTTCGTTGGAAATTGGTCTCATCAATCCATCTAAAAAATGTACTAGTTTTGAAAAAATTAAATAAAAATTCTCAGAAAACATGTCATAAAGATCAGTTATATACAGTTCATTTTATGCTCATGCCTTCCACCCAGCGTTGAAACCAACAGGTTTCTCTCATATTCCTATCCGAAGTGGTTCAAAATGTATTCACAGATCGTCTTTTATTATCTGGGTATGAAAACCTATTGGTAATCTATCGTTTTTAATTCTTTTTATGAATACTAATTATTAGCATATTGAGAAAACATCAATCCTTTGGCATAAAATATAACGTAGACATTCAAACTTTATTCTCTGAACAATAACATTCAGACCAACTTGGATATATACACAGGGTAGTCAAAAAGCTCTCGTAATAGTAGTTTAAAATTTCATTCTCATTGGTTTTATTCCTCATGTTGGCCTATTCTAGTAGCGGCATGTGTTATGTATTGAAACACCAATACAAAGTTTCGCACGTGTTTATTATGGCAAATATTGAACGAAACTTTTCAACGCTGTTTTCAAATGGATAAGCTGTGTTTACGCGCATACATAAAAATTTATTTGTTATTAGGCTTAACTGCCACACAAATTCATAATGAATTAACTACTGCTTATGGGCAAGGTGTTCTTTCATATAATACAGTTGCTTATTGGATTGATCGATTTCCAAGTGAATGAGAGTCGTTGAAAGATGATCCTCGTAATTGGACATTCAATAACCATCATTACTCAACAAAATATTCATGCTGTTAAAGACCTGGTGAAGGATGATGCACATATTAGTATAGATTATATTGCTGACATGTTGGATATATCACATGATAGTGTTGATACTATTCTCAAGCAACATCTTAAGTTAAAAAAGATATCATCAATATGGGTACTTCATAAACTGACCCAAAAGCAACGACAACTTCATGTTGATATTTGTATCAAAAATTTACAGAAGTAGCAAGGTGATGCATGGAGATTAAGTGATATAATAATCGGTGATGAAACTTTGATTTATCATAGAAAAATTAAATTAAAACAACAGTCTCAAGCATGGGTAGCAAAAGGAAAAAGTTCTTCAACAGAAGTGAGAAGACAATAATTTGAAGAGAAAGCGATGTTCGTTTCTCTTTTTATGACAACTAGACCATAACTTATTCATCAGTTACCATCTGGAACATCAAGAAATGCCTTATATTATCGTGATGAATGCTTAAAAAGATTAGCCCAAAAGTATCGACTAGATCAAAAAATAAATAAATAAAAAAGAGAAAATACAATATATAAAGATTAAGAGTGAGCGTTTTCGAAACACACAAAGATCTGACTGTAGTAAAAATATAATAGTATTTAAAAAGTATTGTTTTTTGTTGATTGACAATCACTGAACAGCATGTTTCTTTTATTGATGATCCTGTAACAATAGATTTACATTAATTATCATCATCTTCATTTGAAATACATATTGATTCTATAGATAATTTTGATCTTGTGGAATTTTCATTCGTTTTTGATAATAGTATTTCATTTGTATGACTATATTAATGGTTAATAAGATGCATTGAAAATACAAAATATACATTATTCTTAACATGAATGTAATAGCGCTTTTGAACAATGTTGAACTATATGATGATATAATTGTGAAGCATCATGTCATGAACATCGATCATATAGACTACACATTGATAAATATAATTTGGATATTGATGATCAATCAAATTTAGATACATCTTAATTGCTGTACCAAAATTAGTTCGACACAAGTAGCAATAATGTACACAAGATGGAGAAGGATAAGATGATGATATGAATCAATTATGACTATGAATAAGAAAATTCATTGCTGATGAAAATCTTTTGCTTTGATGTTGAAGAATATATTCACGAAATACAATGATTTTATTACATTTAATTAATATATCTAAATAAAGACATTAGCGGTGTAACCAGGTTTTTAGGCTGCGGCGTGCTCAGTCCCCGAAACTCTTTAGGACCAATTGAAAACTATGTGATTTTCTTCTACCTTCTTAAGTAGATGTTGTACTTACTTGATATTCACTAATATATTTTTCAGTAAGATACTATTCTTCATGATAAGAGTAGCATTTTAAAGAAAAGCAACATAACTATACACTACATCGACATACAAAACAAAAGAAATAGCTTACAAAGATAATAGAAAAAGTCAAAAACATGTACACTCGTTTTACCGAAGTAAAATGCGACTATTTTGGTGATTCGTACTAAACATATCAACTGTTTCTTCCGAATCAATGTTGAAATCCAGTGTAACATCTAACACTATGTGATTACTGAGACGCTCGTCATCAGTTGAATTTTGGCAATATGTGTTAATCAGCTTTATACGGGAAAAACTGTGTTCATACGTAGTTGATGAGACCGGTAAACACAAAGCACCCCACAGTAAAGAAGTTGTTGCTGGGAGTACTTCATTTATCGGTGCCGATTCAGTCAATAAGTATCCAGTTGATTGATATCGATTGTGAGATGAGATGCTGTGGTTTGATATGCTCAACGTCCAAAAAATGTTGATTATTCGGATGAGCAGCTGATATATTTGAAAGGAGAAGAATATTTTCGTCCTCAAAACAATCATTCAATTCAACCAGTATTGAGTCAATTAGTCAATAGAATAGTTCATGTCGAATTTTTTCGTCATTTGAGTCGAATGATTGCTGCTTTCATCGGTCTCAACGACCAGTAGTTGTTGTAATAATAATTAAATGTTTGAATCTAGTAGATGTCGTGGTTTTTCGTTGGAATCTTGTTGGTTGATCCAGATTGCTGTTGTGCTTCTTTCCAGATTCTGCAACATCCTTGAGTAAATGCTTGAATGTTGTTTCACTCCGCATATATTGAATTTGGTCGATTATTGATCGAACCAATTCTTTTGCACTAGCATAATCAATAGAGACAGCTACGAGAAGTCAAGAGGAGATAGTTGCACTCGTGCAGAGGAATACAAAATAATAGGAAAAAACTTACCTTTTAATTGATCATTAAATATCTTGATTAGACCAAACAGCGTATGCAGAATGAACAAAGAGACGGAAAACAATGACGCTTGGATCGTCGCTAGAAATGCTCGAGCAAGTAAAATATTCATGTATCCTTGATAAAACTGCCATAAATTCGTCAATATAGGAGATAACTTTACA